CACTTTGCTTACGGGTGTTCGTTGTTATTTAGTACCCACTATAGGTCGCGTGACTTAGCAGGCACAATCGGTCTATTCTTCGTAGCGTATTGTATCGAGGAGCGCGTTCTTTTCGACGAGAAAAATTAAAATCTCTCATCCAATCTCATCCAACCAATATGCAATATCACTTTTTTAATAATTAGAATCAATACTCAAGATGTAATAATTCACAGCAAAAGTGCAAACACGAAGTACAAACTGAAATAATAAACACCACATACACGAGGTAAATCCTTTCCTCACTGCTATTGCATCGAATCAGGATACAAGAAAACCAGGGTTTACTATTGAAAGCCAAGATGGAAATAAAGTAACTTCTAGGAACGAGGTTGCAGCTAAAACACATTTTCACAGGTAACCTCTTTCATTTACTCGACCAAATTCTACAACCAGAAATCCATCTGTGTGCGAACTTCAGCTTATAACACAAGTCGTTATGCCAAAACTGTTCTTTGTGTTCTGGTGTGGTGGTCGAGTTTGCTTTTTACATTACGCACCGTGTTTCTCATGGAGGCTATTTTGAAAGCCGTCTGACCTCAAGAAAGAAATGACGGTACAAACTTTGAAATTTAAGTTGCAAACAGCTCTTACAAATTTTTTTCCGTAACTCGACTGCAGTGCAATTTATTGATGCCCAGCCACGGCATATCTTATCAATACAGTGGGCTTGGGACGGAAACGCAGGATGTGTGAAGTAGTTGAGAAAATGGAATCAAGCTTTAACTGGGCTTAGCCAGCGTGTTTTGGTAACCTCCCAAATCCCCAGCTGGCAGGCGAGTAATCAGCCGTAATTGTGTTTTCGTTGTTAGCACAATATCAGCGGATGACCGTGGAATCGACTGACGATTCATACGCAGGGAACAGAACAGGCACCCCTAGAGTACTGCTGAAAATTAAATAATGGTAACAGCTTCCGGAAGCTTCGTACACGGGTGTACTGAAAGGATGTTTTCTGTAACGGTGTACTTGATCATTTAGTATACCACAGCCCAATGCTTGAATTGTATGAGTTGTATGCTTGAATTGTAAGAAGTAAATTGCGCTTGGATATGGGTATTTCAACACCTTATCGTATTTTACGTTTACGGGTTTGATTTTACTTCCAAGACAAATCGGCCCGACCATTTATCCCTTGAAGATAACTTTGGTTTTAAAGCAGGTATCCGTGAGGATCTTACTTCAGGCAATACTCTCTTGCAGTCACAAGATCTTAACCATCGCCTCAACTCCCAGACAAATCAGAGAGATCACCGTTAGTGATAACCCATTATATTCGTTGAATCATACATAGATCTACAGCGTGCATTTTCTTACATTGGACAGTATTGTGAATATGTTTCACCAGATACTACATTAAACCATGGACCGCCGGCAAGGTTTGAAACTTTCCCATATCACCTCATCCATATTAATACTGAGGTCCAAGTACATGAACATTATCAGTCTGAGAGTAGTGCACATATTTACGTCTCTGAAAAATTGACACTAATCCCTCGGTAGGAGATACTGGTAGCCTATGGACCTTATTCCATGTACATCAATGGCCACGAGCCAAGGAATTTTTGACATTGGTGAACAATTAACAGGGGTCTTAACAGTCGAAACCCTGAGCGTTACGGTTGGCTGATCCTACAAACACCTAGGTGTAGACAGTGATGCGCCTCATTAACTCTGTGGGTGTTCATCAATATGCCGAGTTTTTAAAGTTGGGCAGCGGTTCAGTCTCGGACTGCACCGTGTATAACTAGAGATAATTACTTCAAAATTATTTACTGTCTAATTTAATGCATTTCTGCTCTGATCTGAATTTCGTTAGACTGCTCTCGGACTAAATTAAAACTGGTAATTGTTTAGTTTCCCTACATACACTTCAAGCATCCTCCATCCTGTTACTATGTCTGTAGGCCACGCCCACTAGCGACCACAGAACCGTGTCGTATAAATTGGGTGTGGGATGATTGGCAGGATGACAACTAAGTGCCAGTGTCGTTCATGGGTTGATCTAGTCCACTCAACATACAGATGGGGGAGGGACAGGCGTATCCAGGTCTTGGGTCGGAGGGGAAGGACAAAGTAGATTTTTTCCAACAACGACTGCCATTTTTTACTATCAGTATAAAAATTCCCACCCCATCCCAAGTTCAAGCGGTAGTACCGTTTCTCTAATGCTGGTGATTTCAATGCCTAAAAAGAAAAGAAAATGAAAATAAAATAAAACAAACAATTCAACATGTCTCCAGGGGAAAATTTGCCCTTCCCGGATACGCCACTGCCGAGGGATAATGACGGCTCATAGAAGCTTTATGGACACATTACCCAGGACATTAATGGGCTTTTCTTTGGCGTGAATCGAAAAACTTGAGAATATTTATAAGACTGATGAACAATTAACAAAGCCTTAGCAGTCTAGCCTTGACCGTTGTGGTCCTATGATTACGCGAATCGCTGCTAGGGAAAAGAGATTAAGTCAAGACTATCTTTAAAAAAATGATGCCATTGTACTCTGCAGATTCATAATAGGTCTATTTGGTGATAAAAAGGTCAAATTTGGATAACTCAAATTGAGGCAATAGTGTATACAACTGTAGAGGAGCGAAAACAGCAGAACGAAACAGACTTGATGAACTGGTCGGCGGGAGGCATGAATTAATCTCAGTGGGCCTAACCAATGACTGATAATTACTGTAGTAAGGACAGTTCAGTCGTGGAAAACAATTCGGGTAACCGTAAAGCCGATCATGAATGCTAGTACACTTAGCCATATTGTTCTGCTTGCTTAGTCTAGATCTCTCTTCTACCAGATGGATAAAAAGGACGCACTGCCAGCCATCTTTGTGGTTGCTTTTTATTTATTGCGCCATCTCCATTTATTCTTTGGAGCCAAAAAAGTAGTGCAATAAACTTATAAGCAGACGCTGTTTCTTTTGTTTGCGTGTGCTTGTTTCTGTCAGTTCACTGCATTTTCTAAATTCTCACAAACCCCTACATCAGAAGCCTGGTCGTAATTTGCATACGTGGAATTATAGTGCAGAAATTGCAATACCACGCCAAGACGGGATACACTGTCGGCATACAAACTTGATTTGTTTATGTACTACCTTTTCTGCCATGTAGGCCTTGGCCTATAATCAAACACTCCGGCTATTGTTTCTTTTTAGTGTAAGGATTGGACTATTTATGGAATCATCGATTTTCTTGCAGTCTGCGAACCTGGATAATAATCCCTGGTGGAAGATCTTTATTACGCTGGCATCTTGAATGCACGCAGGCATACAAGGTTCTTAGTTCTCTCGATTTAATGAACACGGCCACCTTGCTAGTGAATACAGCGGGCCTTAGGCTCCAGCAACCTCGTCGGTATGCTCTGCCAATTCCCTCCCCGCAAAGCATGCATGCACCGTTGGGGGTACACTTTGAATTAAGTGGACCAGATTTCCTTGTCAAAAATGCAATGCAGAAAACACTGGTGTATCTAATGCAAAAGAATTTGATTGTGTATAGTGGAGCGGCATTGCAAAACTGATTTTCCATTTTTGCAAAAGCACGGAGAATAGAGATTCTGAATGTCAGTGAGTTTATTGATCAACACAACTGATCTGACTATCTACCGCTACTAATAAACGAGTCTTACACAGCAAAATGACATCGCATGAAACGAAGTAATAAATACATTATCGTATTAGGAGCCACATATGCCAGGTTTGTAAGCGAGGCGCAATTTCAATGGAGTTGAAGTCAGCATTTTCCCTTCGATGAAACCAACGACAAGGCTACAAATTAGGGCAGGAAAGTAAATAACCTTTCAAATCGGATCTTTTCCTGTAAGAAACAGAGAAAACAAGAAAAAAATACCGTGCAGGATTCGAATTACAGGACTTCCTCCATAGTATTCCTTTACCTTTCCCTCTATAAGTCAGCTCGCCAGACCTCCCTCTTTCCTTTTTTTGCCCATGACCTTATAGAACGCTGATGAAGCTGTTACTTAGGCAGAAAACAAAACATCGTCATTGCTATTTGTTAACAGCAGTATAGGTTGCAGGATCGGGTGCTCAATACCCCTAAAAGGACAATCAATTGTAATCCCTTAAACTTTGAAGACTTTCTGTCAAAACACTAACTGCTGACATTACAGCAAATTTGGTCAACACTTATCAAAGTTTACCAAACTCATCTACTGAATGTAAGAAATTTCGTAGCAATTGTCGAAATAGCATAAACATTGCTCCACATTTCCCAACCAACTATTCTATTTTGGAACCCTGATACCTTTTGTTTCCTAATATCAACGTGTCACCGATTATACTGTCACGCTCACCCATGCCGATTTATATCGAATAGCCCGGTGAATGGTACAGTACATAAATTCTACTGATGAGGTGTCACATTGGTGATGTTAGCGCAACGGTCTTTTTTATCAGAAGAAACGGGGCGGTGATCACAAAGGTGAGCTTGCATATCAGAAAGAGATTAGATACGGGAAGGCCGGAAGAATGATCGAAAATATTGATTAATTTCGTGAAGAAATATATACGAGTTCAAACATGATACCTGATGACCAAAGGTGTTGTGGTCATCTGACAAAGGTGTTTGACTAATAACCTTACGATCCGCCCCTGCAATGCAGGTGACTTAACATCCACGTACGCGTTACGCGACAAGCGAGTCGGAATTTGCTTTATGGTCTTACAAGTAAATAAACATATGCTATCTAAACTTATTTTAGGTGTACCGGGTTTGAAATAGGCAGAAGTACCATCAGTGAAAGGTTATATGTAGTTAAAGAACAGCATGTTAATTAATAAAGTGGTTGACTGAATATAGAGAAAACATGCAGTTGCAAAGTTATGCAGTCACGTATCCAATCTCTAACCTGACAACGATACCAGGCAGTTCAACAGACGAGATAAAGCCGCACCTTTGAGAAAAAGTTACAAATCCAGAGAGTGCATGGAAATTACCTGGAGTTCCACTGTTCCACGGGCAAGTGAGGCGCAGCGGCTCTAAGGCAAGGGAGAAGCAGAAGTAGAATGGCCGTAGAGACCTTGATGCGAAGCCCCATCAGCCGATCCATCTAGACCGAGCTCCTAGCACAAAGTGGATATCTGACGCTTTTCAGTGTGCAGTTGAGAAGCATGCTGCGTACGGGATCAGCACTTGTAGGCAACGTGCTAGGAGCTTCTCTTTATTCAATCGCACGGTGTGGGTGTGTATATTTATATCTGTGACGCCTGGTGCGCAGCTTGATATAATGTTGCCAACCGTAGCGTTCGGGGCTCCGGGCTTACTCTACAACGCGGCCTCCGTTTACCACTCAACGAGGCCGGGGCTGGACGTGTTTCGCTCCGCGTCGATGTCGTTAAAGTGGCCGTCACGAGGCCTCCCTGTTAGGCACGCCATTGGCCGAAAAAGACCTGACGTAACCGGTGGTATTGTGTACAGCGAGGTCGATGCGAATCGGTCGCCTGTGTTGACACCCGCACGGCGATGCAAACTGGTAAGGAGTTATCCATGTCAGACTGGAAAGTGGTGAGAAATATTTTGTTGTGGACGATAGATGCTGGCCCAACCCTTCTATGTTGTAACTACTACCGAAGGTAGTATGGACTCCCAATACTTTGAACTTAATCTTGCTCTGCACCAAGCGTGCCCTCCAACCTTTGACATCCTTCATAATCCGAAGCGTACAAGTCACTAATTGTTATAGATTGAATCCCTTTATCTTTAAAGTCCCTTTTTTGCACGAGGTTTCTTCAGCATTTTACATAGAAAAACAAACACATTAAAATGTCTCAACAAAAAAATCTCAATAAAGCAAGAGAAAGTAGACCTTAATCAAAAGGAATCTATTTCATTCAAATGAGCGGTTCCAGACTATATAGGGTTCCATGCCTCACTTATGAGAAATGTTACTTTAAAATTTAGATAAAGTAAATCAAAAATCTGGAATCATACATCGTTTCATATGAAATCATAATAAACGTTTTCTCATTGCTTTATTTTTATCCTTAGGTTTCCAAAATAAAAAAAGTTCACCTCAATTTCAATTCAATATGACCGACTTGTGTACAAGATCAATTCACACCCAGGCAGTTTTCACGAAATTGATAAAACAGAGCACTTTGATCTTGAGGTTCGCTTAGTGAAAGGTCACATCAACTACCAAGACGAACACAGCCTCCGCGTCTTACAAGTTACAGCATTTCCTGTTGCAGCCTTGAACCCCCCCCCAAACATCCTCTGGGTACTGTAAATCTTCTGTAATACAGAAAGGACGGAACATGAAAAAAAGTATATTGACTGGCAAACAAGTAGATTTTGTAAGACACCTCATACACGAGGGTTATTTTTTTCCAGCAGTGAAATTTAATTGTCTTCCACGACGACGGACCTTTTATATCAGGTGGTATTTGCTATAAGTCCGGAAGCCTCTATCAAGGAGATGTCCATAATAGGTTCTTTTACATTCACAACATATAGAACTGAGCAGTGTTCCCCCCCCCCAACCGGAAAATATCAACTGCACTGACTGTACAGGTGTTTTTGAAAGTCTATTGACTACACAACAGAGATGAACAACCGGATTCCGAGATGGAGAACGAGACAATTAAGTTGTCGGGCTGCAAATACATTTCGCATAACGCAATGACAGAGGCAAACAACAAAGGACACGATACCGGCTGGCTTTTCATGTACACAGGAATTAAAGGAATATGTTTTCGACAGTGTTTTGTTTTCACAACAGGCTGAAGACACTGTAGGCTGAACACAGACATAGAGCAGCTGTGAAACACTTGCTCATTAGTCATGTCAGATTAATAGACGTCAAATTCAAGAAGTGGCTGCTCACAGGGCATCGAACTATGGATCTGTAAAACATATGATCAAACCCACATTATCCACTCGTGCCTATTGTCTTAGAGGACCAAGATGAGCTCATTTCTTTAGACTGCATGACGCATTTTCTTGTAATCTTCATTGGGCAGAATTAATTTGAACACTAACACCGGACAATGTTGGCGCGTGCTTCTTGACACGTGCGCGCAGAATAAAAACGTGGATTGCCCCTGACAGCACGCAAACGAAGTATCGGGGAGAACTGCTGAGACAATGCTCTCCCGATAGAGCCGAAACGTGGACGTCTCGCCCTATACTGATACATATCTATAATGTTTAAGAATCCATGCAATGCCATGTAACCAAAATCATGCTCGCGATCAATGAACATCGCACTGTATTCCTCGTCGAGCGCATACAGAATTGCTTTCCAGCCCTACAGTTGCCTGTCCCTTTCGATTAAACTTACTCTCAACCCATGCGCTATTTCACGGTGGTAAGCACAGTGCTCCCATTTCTGCGATCATACTTAGCAAAGTCTCAATAGAAGGTTTTACGCGAATGGGATAAGTGCCAGTAGATTTATGAACATAGATGATTAAGAAATGGCTTAAAAGCTGGTTTTCATATAACCCGCGTAAATGAATGGCGACAGTTATTTATGTTTTCTGCTCGTTATACATAAATTGTATCAGCACAAAAACTGCAGAGTGTCACATTTATAACTATACACTTAGGTGTGTTTAATCAGGCATGCGTCAAGTAAAATTAGGCACAGTTTAAGGTTTTTTTTCTGGCCACCATCCCTTTCGACTTAAGGGAATATGATGCAATTATACTCTTAATATGCAGCAAATTTAACAATATCTTCTGAGCATGGATTATCATCTACGTGTGTGATTTTTTTGTTTTTCATTATATCCTTGTCTTGTGTTTATATACTTGACGGATAAAGACAGGTTTTTACTGCTGTAAATATGTGATAGAGGCTGCCCACCTTCTGGACCTCTCAGTAATACTTCGAATGAAGAATAACCTTCTCTTAGGCACACAGTCACTCAAAATTGACTTTGTGCCTCCTTTCAGAAAGAAACGGTTACTCCTCAGCTTGTCGGAGTACGAAATGCTGCTAGCATCTTTACATTCAAAATCGAATTATAACGGTGAAATGCGTATTGTGTTATTCCAGTTTGATGGAGTGAATAGACTGGAAAGTGGCACAGAGTCGATTGTGTTTTTTTTTCTGAGGTAGATCTCTGGATCACCAACGGCAAATCAGATGAAATTAAAAGTAATTTCAGGCCAAGACTGTATAATTAAAAACCATATATATATTGCCTCTTTACGTTCTGTATATGAAATGGACGAATTTTGCTCGCACCATTTTTGGAGACACCGTGGATTATAGTTTTTCCTTTAACTTACCTGGTAGAACGCTCGGAGTGGCACTGACCTGCGGCATAGAATATAATCTTTCTATCGTTTCTCCTGTCATAAAAAAATCTTGAAAGAAATGGAACAAGTGGTGCGCTGATTTTTAAATGCATACGTTTATTATTTTCTAAAATTGAGTACTGCCCCCTTGAGAGATAATTGCAAATTCATTTTCATTGCGCTTAATTTTTACCCCAGAAGATTTAAATTTTGGAAGAGATAACCCAATGCAATTTCGACTCCCTTACATTTTATTTGTCCTTTCTTTCTGTCATGTTTTGGGTGGAATAGCAATGAGTCCTCTATTAACAGGATGTTATTGATTTTGTGCGATTCTACATTCAAGCTAATGCCATTGTTGCTCTCTTTACGCAAACAGTGACACAGAAGTCTTCGATTATGTTTAAAAAATACACATTTTTTAAAACTTAAAAAGCACGCTGTGTTACTTGACGGAGAACCGATTTAGGTCGTGGTTAAACACACCGGCCCGTCCTGATGTTCAATTCTCAGGACCACTTTCTCCCGTCAGTTGCTGCTGAGCCTAGCGTGCGCCACAAACTGTAAATTTGTTTTTCATGGTTAATTATTCCCGAGACCTACTTCCAATACCTGAAAGAATTCTAATGCCCTTTTGCTTTTCAAACGCAGTCTTTACATTATTTTTTCATTCCTCAAATACTTTCTTCTTTTTCACAAGGTGGCATGTCAAGGTTTTTCTGCCGAGACCTATTCTTCTCCACACTATGCTATCTACCTCTTATTTCTTCAAGAGCTCACAGCAATGCTGTAGTCCAGTCTGCCCTTGAAAGTCCAACACAAGGTCGTCAAAAGCTATGCAGTCACAGGTCAAGCCCCAAGCTATTTAGGTGAACTGTATAATAAAAGCATTTCTTTGTCACTGTTCATCCTGTTGTGTGTCTTGTGAAAGGACTGATAATGGACTCGTCTTTAACAATTCTCAACGGGGGGTAAACAACAGCTGCAGTTTCATTAATCTGTGATACATCTTTCCGTTAAACAGCGGTCCTCCAAACTGCACATAGCCTACGTCCTTTTTCGAAATACAACAATCGAGTAACTGTCCGTGCAGAGCTATTGGGCGTCCCTTGCGTAAATTTTCGAGTTTTCTTTTCCTTATGAACTTTGAGACACCGTACCTTGAAAATCATTGCTTGTATCGGCTGTGTAATTGAATCACTGTACACCCACTGCTGGCCGCCGGTGATGGCTGAAAATCCCAGTAGGATACTCAATTTTCATCGATCAATCCTTGAGTAACTCTGGGCCCGATGGGAACGCAAACCACGTTAGTCACACAACGCCGCACTTTCAACGGAGGAATCCTCAGATATGTCTTTCTTGAAAAAGAGAAATAAATCTTGGAAAATGCACAACCACAGAAGCTGTGGGTGTTAGATTTGGAATCAAGTAGGGTGGACTAAGGTATGGCGCTTAGGGGACTAGAGACGGTGGAGAGGGTGGTAGAAACGAGAGAAGAAAAGCGACAGAAGAGAGAGAGAAAAGTAATTTGAATTTGTCTGCAAGCTTCCACAAGGATTCTCCGCTCTGAAGGCAATTTTGGATCGAATATCCAAAACGCAAAGGTACGCCGCACATCCACATTCCAGTATCAACTTCAATGTTATATTCTTGGTATTACGTTCCTTGTTTTAAATGCGGCACAAGACTTTGGAATCCCTCCCGCCCACATTGACACTTGAACACCGTTTGATCCATGCACCCGTCGCCCATGTGAAGATGCTTTGAACGACTTAAACGTATTTCGAAGCTTGAGCTATGGATAAGGAAATTTTGAGGAAACTGGAGAAAAGTTTTGCAAGTAACAAGACCTTGTATTGGCTCAGGAGGTAGGTAATGTGCGTGAAACAACCACTGCAAGAACGCTGCACCACTTCACTACTGGCTTCTGAGTCTTATACCCAGTAAGATTCGAGATGGAGGGGTACCCCTTCCTACATGCGCAATCTCTATACACACATTATGTAAGTAAATCCAGAGGGATGGGT